AGGTGGCTTCTGGGCGGTTTCATGTCTGATGAGTGGGTGGTGGACTGAGAAAATACTAGATGATCTAAAAAGGATGGTGCTGCTAACATTATACAATTCAATTCAATTCAAGTTTATTTATAAAGCGCCAAATCACGACAAGAGTCGGCTCAAGGACCTTCACATAATAAACATTCCAATTCAGGTCAGTTCATTAAGCCAATCAGAAATAATGTTTCCTATATAAGGAACCCAGCAAACTGCATCAAGTCACTGACTAGTGTCAGTGACTATACAGCAATCCTCATACTAAGCAAGCATGCAGCGACAGTGGAGAGGAAAACTCCCTTTTAACAGGAAGAAACCTCCAGAGAATCCTGGCTCAGTATAAGCAGCCATCCTCCACGACTCACTGGGGATGGAGAAGACAGAGCACACACACACACACACACACACACACACACACACACACACACACAGATAAACTTTATTGTATTTATTCTAGTGGATCTATAATTAAACGGGTAAACTAGTAGTAGCACATCCAACGTCAAGGAAAGTAAAAAGTTATTATCAGGAGAGGGAGAATGTTTAAGTGGTTAGCAGCGTGTGCTAGACGATGGCCCCCTCCATGAGGCCACCACAGCTCAGCAGAACATCGTTGTAGCTTCTTCTGGGGAGAAAAACACTTAGAGAGAAAATAAAGTTAACAGCTGAAATAGCAGGAAATAATACAGTTAAAGAGCAGATTGTAGAAGAAAGCAGTAGAGTGTGGAAAGTGGTCAGTGTGTCCTCCAGCAGTCTAAGCCTATAGCAGCATAACTACAGAGATAACTCTGGATAATCTATCCTATTTAGATGGAGGCATGTTGGAGGCAGGGCAAGGGAGAGCCGTCTTTACCGACTGTACACTCCACCTCCCTCTACTCCCCCACTTGTCCAGATTTAGGCTAACATCAGATTTTAACCATAGGCCCTATCAAATAAAAATGTTTTAAGCCTATTCTTAAAAGTAGACAAGGTGTCTGCCTCACGGACTAAAGCTGGGAGCTGGTTCCACAGGAGAGGAGCCTGATAACTAAAAGATCTGCCTCCCATCCTAATTTTAGATATTCTGGGAACCACCAGTAGACCTGCAGTCTGAGAGCGAAGTGCTCGGTTAGGAACGTATGGAACAATCAGATCACTGATGTATGATGGAGCTTGATTATTAAGAGCTTTATATGTGAGAAGAAGGATCTTAAAATCTATTCTGAATTTAACAGGTAGCCAATGTAGGGAAGCTAAGATAGGAGAGATATGATCTCTCTTTTTAATTCTCATCAGAACTCTAGCTGCAGCATTTTGGACAAGCTGAAGACTTTTAACTACATTCTGTGGACTTCCTGAGAGTAATGAATTACAGTAATCCAGTCTTGATGTAATAAATGCATGAACTAGTTTTTCAGCATCACTCCTGGAAAGGATGCTTCTAATCTTAGCAATATTCCGAAGGTGGAAAAAGGAAATCCTACAAACCTGTTTAACGTGGGATTGGTGTTTGAGAGACTTTGGTAAACGCCCACATCAAACTTGTAAGCTTTTGATTTGTCCAAGTTGACAAAAAATAGTTATTAAAAGAGTTGACACTTCTTCTAAAGTCAGGTCTGCCATCTGCTCGGCCCAGCTAAGATGAGCAAGTGAGCGTTAAACCATCCTTCAAACTAAACTGCAAAGCTCCATCATGACCGCCAGCAGTCACCCTGAGGGCATCTCAGACCAGCGGTTTTCTACCCAAGGTGTAACTAAGTACTTTGCCACAGAAGTCAAATCCATCGGCAGCCTGTCCATACAGACTTCTCCATTCCCTGGATCACCAGGAGCCTTCATCACAAGGGTTCGTATAGAGAGACAGAAAAGTGATTTATAAGGTGTCTCCAGATAAAAATCCCGAGACGAGTAGCCTCTGCACAACTGCTGTGGGAGGGTTCATTAATGATAGCTTGTTAAACCATGCAGACAGACCAGTTTCGCATCCCAGTCACTTAATGAGGTTTTGTTACATAACATCTAAGCTCACAGTTCATTCATCGTCTCAGTTACCTTGTTTCACCCATCAGTCATCACAACTTGTTCTGTGTACGAGAAGGGGTGGAGGACCCGGTCGGACCCCATCGAGGTTGGGTGCAGAGGATTTACTGGCCGGTCACTAATTAGAGTCCTCAAGATGTCTGGAATGAAGGGACTGGAGAAGCCATTAAGAACATCTCACCTGCTGCTGAAAAGGCATGAAGGTGGCTGTGGATCAAGAGGAGTGATCCATGGACTATGCAGGCTGCTCAGAAACAAGCCAGAGCCCGATCAGGCCCGGTGGGGTCGCCTGGGCGAGGGTGTAGCATGTTGAGAGACCTGAAGCATCCAATGACCCCAGGATACCTCCCTGATGATGTGTCTGGGCTGCTCCAGTGGGGGAATGAACTGTGTCATAGTAGAAATATAGCGTTACATTTATTTTTACAAACTATATTTTTGCCTCTGTCTCAAATTATTACCAAGGTGTGTTTCCCTGGTCCTCCAAAAAGACCTGGTTTACCTTGGGTAAAGATCAATAATACTGATTATTCATATTTATGTGGAATATCACATCTTAATGAACGTTCTTTAAAAGTAACAACTTCCATTACATTACACTGCGGAGAGGAAGGTCTGGGCCTCCCTGCTTAGTCTGCTCCTGCCACCTGAACACAGGTAAGCAGCCGAAAGTGCATGGATGGAGGTCCAGAGTCAGGGGGTCACCTTTGACCTTTAGCCTGGTGCTGCACAACCAGTAGGCTTTGGTCACTGGACCTCAGGGACCTGCTGGGGGTGTAGGGACTGAGAAGATCACCAATGTAAGATGGTGCTTGTCCATGTAAGGCCCTATAGACCAGAACCAGGATCTTGCAAGGCAGCAAGGTCAACAGTGTCAAAGGCTGCAGTCAGGTCCAGCAGGACCAGAACCAGAACCCTGCATCACTGTGGGTCAGAAGGTCATTAGAGACCCTAAGAAGAGCTGTTTCAGTAGAATGAGCTCTACGAAAACCTGACTGGAAGCTATCATAGATGTTCTGTTCATCAAGAGCAGCTGTGAGTTGTTTAGCCACAACCTTTTCCAAGATCTTGGAGGTGAACGGAAGTTTAGAGATGGGTCTGAAGCTGCTATGGAGAGAGGGGTCGAGACTCGGTTTTTTAAGAAGCGGGTGGATTACAGCGTTCTTAAAGTAAGCAGGGACCTGACCAGAGACCAGAGAAGCATTAATTAGAGAGCACGCTGGGACCGATGGACTGAAAAGCACTTTTAAACAAAGATGAGGGTAAGATGTGGAGGGGGCATGCAGAGGTCTTCATAGAGTTAACTAGTTTGGTTAACTCAGGCAAAGAAACAGGAGCAAAGCTATCTAGGATGATGGGCCTGGTTGGAGTCGGGAGAGGCGGCGATAAGGCTGAAGGAGAGATGCTAGATCTAACCTTATTGACTTTGTCCACAAAGAAAGACAGAAAGTTCTGCAAGTGTTTTTAAAGCATGGGAGTAACTGCAGCAGCTTTGCATTGAGGTGGAACGGTAGCGGTAGTGAGAGAGGAGTGGGTTATGGCTTTCAGGAGCAGAGAGAGAGAAGACCGGCGGGACTTAACTAGAGCGGTGGGAAGGAGATCAAGATGACAGGTGGAAGACTTTGATTTGAGGATCAGGTCAGAAATTTCAGAGGCATTAGGGAGCTGGAAAGTGGAGAAAGAAGAACAGAGTGGAAAAAATAGTGGCAGAGGAGAAGAGGAGAGTGCTGATGGTTCTTACCATTTTCTTTTCTGGTACCACTGGTTTCTGTTGTCTGATCCATGGCCCGGTACCATTGGGTTTGGTGGGAATGTCCTCTGAAAGCAGGAAAACCCCACAGAGGCTGTTTGGAGCTGGCAGCTCTCAGCCTGACCTCTGCTGTCAGATCGATGCGTTCACAGACCCATCTGTCTGCTGAGATACCTGCCCTGCAGGCTGTGTTTGTGTGTGTCCTCTCTGACTCCACCCACCTCTCTAGGGACCGCCCCCACACACACTTCCTGCTGAACACATCTGGCTGAATTCAACCTTTCCCTCTTCAGCCTCTGCTCAGTTGAACTTTGACCTTTGTACTCCTCAGAGAGTCTGTGTTTTTCCAGGGTTTTCCTTTAGATGACTTCCTCTCTCCATTAGGTTTTCACAATAAAAGCACCAAGCTCAGTGGACCAGCAGCACTTGTAGAATGAAAGTTTTTAAAAGAATAAAAAAATAAACAAAAAGGAGCATGTTGAGTAAACAGCTGTGTGTGTGTGTGTGTGTGTGTGTGTGTGTGTGTGTGTGTGTGTGTGTGTGTGTGTGTGTGTGTAGCTCTGCCAAGAGGATAAAGTGCATGGAGGACGACGTGGACAGTCCAAGTGAGGAGTCCTACTACCCGAGTCAGGGACGGTCTCCAGGCAATGGCAGCCAGGCCGGCAGCTGGCACGACGTGGAGCCAGGTACATTGTTTCCATGGCAACCACATCTCCTAACAACCATCTAATAACTCCTTGCAGAGCCCCAACTCCAAACTACCTCCAGACCAAACCCACCGCTGCCAAGCAGCTGCAGAAACACGGTTCCACGTGGGCGAAGTTTACAGCTGGCTAAGTTCATGAGAGATACACATAAATAAATCCGTATCTGCAGTAAACATGCAGAGTTCAACAAGCAGCACACCTTCATAACACCAAATCCAGACAAGTGCAGAAAGACATGTTGGAGAGGCGGAGCTTGGAGTCTGAGGACAGTAAAGGCCAAGTTTGTTTTGATGGGAACAATCAAATCGGTTTATTATTAATATAACTGAACACGTTCCCGGCGTATTTCATTAACTAGAAGAATTAGAAATGTTAATCAGTGACATCATCTGGTTAACGGGTCAGGGTTAGGGTGTTGTACTAGTACACGCGTTCACATGTTGTCTTGTTGTGTTTCCTTGGTCTTATGAGTTTGTTGATGTGTAACACACACAAATATTAAAAACACAGCATGTCTCTCTCTCCTCCCAGCTCGCTCTCTCGCTCTCTCATGTATTCATGCTGCTCTTTCTTCTTGTCGTTTCTTTCCTTCTTCGTTTTGGCCTTCTCACTGTGGAAAGCTGGATATAAGCTGCGTGGCTCTCTAGCTAGCTCGTTCATCTCCCGTCAAGGTAAAAACATCATCTAGACTTTTTCTGTTTACTTGTTTGTGAAACCGCCTCCTCCTCTTCCCCCTCCACCTCCTCCTCCTGATGAGGGACAGATGGATTTCCCTCTGGGATCAATAAAGTGTTGCTGATTTGAATTGAATTGATAATCGTGTTGTCTAGTTCAGGCCTGGTGGGTCTGCACACCTGTCCTCACCAGTCTCCACGTCCTCCACCTACCCTCACTCCACCCACCTGCCAGCATGCTGATGACATCATTGTGGTTGTTGATTGGTTGTTTGTGAGTGGAGCAGACCACCATGCATGATTGTAAAGTCTAGCTTAAACAACTCAGCTCAGTTGTGGAGTCACACACACACACACACACACACACACACACACACACACACACACACACACACACACACACACACACACACACACACACACACACACACACACACACACACACACACACACACACATGTTACATTGTGATTTCTTAGCAAATATTGTATTTGGTGAAAGATAAACTTTATTGTATTTATCCTAGTGGATCTATAATTAAGCGGGTAAACTAGTAGTAGCACATCCAACGTCAAAGAGAGCAAAAAGCCATTATCAGGAGAGGGAGAATGTTTAAGTGGTTAGCAGCAGTGTGCTAGTCGATGGCCCCCTCCATGAGGCCACCACAGCTCAGCAGAACATCGTTGTAGCTTCTTCTGGGGAGAAAAACACTTAGAGAGAAAATAAAGTTAACAGCTGAAATAGCAGGAAGTAATACTGTTAAAGAGCAGATTGTAGAAGAAAGTGGTCAGTGTATCCTCCAGCAGTCTAAGCCTATAGCAGCATAACTACAGAGATAACTCTGGATAATCTAACCTATTTAGATGGAGGCATGTTGGAGTCAGGGCAAGGGAGAGCCGTCTTTACCGACTATTCCAGTGTTAATTTTGACAAGAAATTTTTATTTAGTTTCAGTTTTGTCGTAAGCCAAGCCAGCGGGCTAACTCTAGGTTTTAAATCTCAAGGCCTTGGCTTACAGTACAATATGGTGGGCTTGACCTCAGACCCTTCCTGACGAATACTCTCACTCTGTGGAGAGATATTCCACCTTGTGCAACCTAGACAACTCAGGGAAGAGGAGCTTGGGCTAAAAAGGAAAAGTTCCTTTTAAAAACCGAGATTCTAGCAGATCCGAGGAGAACGAGCTCTCTGTACACACACACACACACACACACACACACACACACACACACACACACACACACACACACACACACACACACACACACACACACTTTTTCAGACCCAGAAATCAACAACCACCTCGACCAGAACCAGCAATCACTTTTTATTCCACCCCTCCCACCTTCATACATCATCATTTTTCTCCTTCTTTTGGGATGTTTCTTTTTTTGTTCTTGTCTCGAATCAAAGATCAACTTCCTGACAGGAAGAGTCACATTTTATTTTTGCAGCACAAAACTGGAGGCTGGAGGTGACAGGTTTCCACACAGAGAGAAGCTCGGCTCAGACTCAAACTATGTTATCAGCGAGTCTGCCCCGAGTCTCCTCTCACCATGCCCCTGGAAACCACGGACCAGGCAGGGGGCAAGTTGGGGGAGGTAGCTCTTATCTGGTGATTCGTCTGAGTATTTCCTCTTTAGTCTCAACCTTCGTTCTCTTGTGAGTCACACCTTCCTCCACTAATACTAATCTTTCCCACACAGTAGGTTCCCATGGCCCATTAGGGTTCATTTGTATTGGTCTCCTGTCCATCAATCCATGCAGGTGGACTCTCCTAGCATGTGCCATGGGTGCTGCACGTGGCCTAGGTCTCCTCCTTGAGTCTCTTGGCCGCCATTCCCTCGTCTGGTGGGTCTCTCTGCTCGGGTTGGGGAGGTTCTCGACCAGGCCTTCATTCCCGCTGACCTGTGCAAGGATCAATGACATTACATAGATGAATTTCTGCCCTAAGCTCTCGACTGCTTAGGATGGTCACGTATCCACCACGGTTCAAAAGCCCTCCTTGTGCAACTCCTGCTTCCATTCCACAGAGGAGACACATCATTTCCACCCTATCCAGTCGTATCACAGGAATCATGGTCTGACACAACCAGTGGTTCAGGCAGCGAGTTTCTATGTGAGGCCTCTAGAACAAAAAAATTATACTTGGCTGAAAACCACGATGCAGCTAGGTTCAGCACCTTGGACAGCACCCAGAACAGCATCAAACCACGCCACATTCTTTTCTTTGGCTTTGTTTGCCTGTGTACCTGGATTTTCTTTATGCAGTACACGGTAATCATCCCTGCCATGGTGCAGCAGTCACACTTCATATCATGACGACTGCAAATGAATTATGACCAATGAGATGTGATGACTCCATATAAATATGGAATATCAACCTGATTGAGCTCTGAATGTTTGATCAGAAGATTCTAGTTACTTTTACTTGTTCAGGGACCATAAACACACTTCGTATTCATTCAGACAGAGTCAGTATGTAGATAAAAGGAATTTTATTCTTTTCTAAACTAATGATTATACATGACAAGATATGAATAATGAGATGTGATGGAGTGGATATGCGGTGATGAAGTGTGATGTGTGAGTGGTGTGATGTAAGCTAGATGTTTATCAGAGTCTTTGTATCTGAAAGAAATTGTGAAATCTGGGAGTAAAATAATTAGTTGTCTGCTGTAAACTAGAGAGTTGATTATTAATAAAACAGCTTCAGACACAATCTGCTGTGTGTACAAACCCTGGTGGAGACCCCAGCAAGTCTGGACTGTCAGAAGTCGGGTGGACCTCACGGCACCGGGATTTCGTAGATTAAACTCTAACATGACCCGTCCAGTCTTGAGATGTCTCCGGGTCACAACAGTAGCTGGAATGCTTGTCTGCGTCCAAAGTGGGTGTGGCTCTTGGGGAGCCGTCTGGCTGTGTCAGGTTGCAGCGTGCAGACAGGCTGGCTGTCTGTCAAAGAGATGTTTCAAAAGAGGCTTCTTTCCCGACTTGGCCGGATCGGGTTCAGCTGGAAACTGAATTTATCGGGAAGTAATTCCTGTTTATTAAACTACTTTGTTATGATTTCCAGCCAATTCTGGCAAATCAGAATGTGCCATGTCTGGAAGGCTTCACCAGAACATCCCTCAGAAAGGGTTAGGGTTAGCCTTCCTTCAGATGCAAGCTGCTGACTCTTTAAACGTTACGAGAGGTGACCCTTAACCTTAACTCGTGTCTTATAAACGTGAGTATGAGTGTAGACAATGATAAACTTGTTAAGCCAACACATACTGATGTGTGATATAAATGGATCATTGTAAGAACAATATTCATTTATAATTCATTGATTTAAGCACAGATTATTCAAACATTTCATTTAAACATCTTGTTCATTCATCACATGTGATTATTCATATCATTAGTTGTAAAAGTCTCGTCGGATTCGTGTTGAATCACTTTTTATTCAGAAAGATGAATCCAGCAGTCTGACTTTTAGCAGAGAGATGAGGCTTTTGCGTCTGGTGAGACCTTGACAGTTTATTTGTGTCTGCGTTGAAGAATAATAAGTGAGAAAAGGTTGATTTGTGCGCCTGGATCCTCCAGCTGGTGTAACCTTGACTTAGCAGTTCTGGTGTGCATGAAAGGTTATGCTGTCAATTCGATGGTGGACATGGACCCTTTTTATTCATTACATTGCCATGAGCTTCTCCAGCCTTATGGACTCCTTCAGCTTTACCCAGCATGTTTCTGGCCCCACACACACCAGGGACCTTGTTTTTACCCTGAGTCTAAATGCTGACAGTGTTTGTCCTGAGGACGTTTATACTTCAGATCACCATTGCGTTTTCTTTAACTTGTCAGTTTCTGCGTCCCCACCTCCTGCTCGCCGTATGGTTAGTTCTCGTTTTCTTAATGAGAGCACAGCTAGCTAATGTTCTGCTGCTTTTGATCCACCCTGTTCTTCTGATAATGACCCAGATTCCTTAACTTCTCAGTTCAACGAGCACTGCCTCTCCATTCTGGACAACATCTGTCCTGTCAGAACCAGATCAGTTCCTGCAGTGAACCCTACTCCCTGGTTTAATGACAGCCTTCAGCCTGAAGCACCAATGCAGAAAAGTCGAGCGCTTGTGGAAGAAAACCCATCTCCACGTCCGTCTGCTGCATCTAAAGGACCTTCGGACCTCTTAACTCTGCAGTCAGAGATGTGATGGTTTCCTAATTCTCCAACCTGGTGTCCCAGAGCAAAGGGAACCCCAAGGTGCTGTTTAAAGAGCGAGTAACGCCCAAATTAAGATTTTGTGCTGATAAGCTGTATAGATTTGTGTTGAATAGTGCTGTAGACACATAGCATCAAGTGTGGCAGGCTAGTGCAACTTACTTTAAATGTTATATTTCATCCCAAAACTGTAATTCTATCTCCATCTCCAGGTGGAAGGTCTGCTCCACACTGATTTAGAGTCAGCCACAGCTGACTGCTGCAGCTCTTGCAGGGTGGCGTTGTCTGTAATGTGCTATGTGGCTGCGCTGCACTGGACTCCCGCTGAGTCTCTCCGCACCTCCAGCCGGCTCAACCACTCACCTGCTGATGTGACACGTTAGCGCTTGGAGCCGCTCGCCTCCTTAAGACAAACATCCTCCTCCCCTTTGTTTAATGATGGAGGTGAACAGCCAGTTTCTGTGTTCTCCTGAGCAGTGAGTGTGCTCTGTGTGAGCTCGTGTGTTAACAACTCTTTTTCCCACCGAGAAACTCTGAGAGCGCCTGCAGAGGGTTAAGGGGGGAGCTACCAATCACTGCCTCAGTTCCGCTCTCTCAGTCCTGCAGGTAACACCTG